TCGAGCATATGAACTTAGTTTGGCAGAAACTGCCAAACTAAATCCAGTGCTCTGTGTCTATTGTACAACGAGTTCTGCAATCGACTCGATGTTATTAATAGTAATTCTTTTTAGTATGTTTTATATGTTCTGTTTTTGATATACTATCCACTATATTCCTGAACCGACCATAGTTACAGAAACAACAAGGACTTTTACAAAACCGAATCTCCCAAATTTCATTCTGCAATTGAGATGCAAATTATAGACAAGAGGAGTATATTTTCAAACAACTATTCTGAAGGAAAGAAAAAAGCAGGAAAGATGATATCCATTTATCGGTAATAAGCGTAACCTAAAATTTTCTAATATAGAAAAAATCTTTTCCTTATCAGCATTATATCTGTTGTTTACACATGATTATGTATCTTTTTTTTCTCGTTTTCTTTCCCTGCATGTCGTTATAGTTATTATTGATGCATATGCCACATGTATCATCATTTCAATCTCAAACCATTTCTCAAGTTATTAATAAGCTGATATATTTATTCTCGTTAAAGATGAACAAAAAAATGAGGAAATGTTTCATGTAATTTGATATGTTTTGAATGATATGAATAATATACACTTTTTATACATGATATATCCAGAACAAACAGAACTTGTTAAAAGTCTAACAAATAAGGAGAAATCTCTTTCCAGTACTCATATCTGACTGGCATAGAATGGTAGATATGATCCAGTCAAAGAAAGAAAATATCAAAAGGACATGTTTGCTAGATATGATATCGAACGAACGACGTGTTTGAAAAGATGTTATCTGATAATACCTAACTTTTGCTTTCGCTTGAGGATATCTAAACAAAAAAAAGATATCTAACGCTGTCTAGATGCATCTCTACATTACGAGTGAAGAATTTTATTTGGATCAGTTGTGTTTTAATAGATAACACTTAGACCTATTCTGATAAGCAAAGTTAAAATGTTATCGATTAAAACACAAATGATTTTCCTCACCCTCACTCAAGCGTGCTTGAGTTTTTTCTCCAGTTTGTAACTGGTGTGTAGACAGATGAAAAAAACGTCTTTTCTGAAAACCACAATTGGTTGGATGAATGTTTCTGAGACTTAAAGGACGGGGCGAATTCTAAGCGGAATCTGCCCACAATGTTTTGAAGTTACTTTTAAGCGAAATTTGAAGAGAAAATGTTTGTGAAAATTTTTCGGCTTAGCTGACGAGGGAACCACCCGAGGTTATAAATCGATTTCGAGTTGGGGCTATTTTTGTTAGAAAGGCCGTAACGAGTAGTGAAATACCCCAACTTGGTTCATCCCCATGGTGCTTTGTTGCGGAGATACTGAATTTTTAGTTAGTTTTTGTCTACAGAGCTTGGATATCGAGCAAAATCCGACTTTCGAATTTTGATTTCAAACTTGCCACACTTGTAGCCCATGGTCACAGCAGTACGACGGAAAAATATTCGATGCTAATGAATTTACCTTCCTTGAGATATTGAGGCTCGAACATTTCACCAGAAGGTAAGGGTGGGGGTCAAATATTCGAGTCTCAATATCTCAAGGAAGGAAAATTTATTAGCATCGAATATTTTTCCGTCGTACTGCTGTGACCATGGGCTACAAGTGTGGCAAGTTTGAAATCAAAATTCGAAAGTCGGATTTTGCTCGATATTCAAGCTCTGTAGACAAAAACTAACTAAAAATTCAGTATCTCCGCAACAAAGCACCATGGGGATGAACCAAGTTGGGGTATTTCACTACTCGTTACGGCCTTTCTAACAAAAATAGTCCCAATCCGCCCGATACAGAAAAATAGACAGTTAAAAACTGTATAAGAAAAAAAAGGATGCAACTCGCGTTTGGCATAGAAATATTGCACTTGAAAAGCTCTACAATATTCTGTCAAAACACGTTCGAAATGTCAATGGCTCACTCAGTTACATGTCAGACATGACTCTGATTGTACCTTAAAATAGATGTCATCTAAGGTGGCGGAAAATCACAGTTCGAGTAGTTGTTTTTTTTCATGGTCGGATGGAGCTAGTTGGACTGCCCAACAATACCACAAAATCAGAAAAACTTGTGGAAATATAAACAAAATTTCTATTGGTATCGTTTTTTTAAAAGTCCAGATAGAAATTGCCCAGTGTGAGTTGATGGAACAAGACATTGGCTTTTCCTTTGTTCAAGACCTGTTTTTTCTGGTAGAGATTTTGAATATAGTTTTTAGTCTCATTACGAATGCTTAATTCAAGATGTATTCGAAATATTTTTTATTTCATCTTTTTTAAAAAATAAACGAAGAAGAAAAACAAATAAAAATACTACGAAGCACAGAAAAGAAGAGGTCCATTATTTCCATTTCAATACAGCACACAAACATGTGATTAGAAAAAACAGAAAAGAGCAGATCACATAAGAGAGAGAAAACTAAAGAACACATTATATTTTGAGAGTGCACTGTGTAAGGGGTGAGACAAACTGCGCATGATTATTTCATTCGAAATATAGCTATCTGATTGCACGAAACTAAACATTAAGATATTCCATATCAGCTGTTTGAACAAACACACAATGTTTATACAACAGAGAGAAACACGCACGAATAATAAATAAAAAATAGACTAAAACTCACAGATCGTCGCTGAGACAATATTGACACGCATACACATGTTTTAAAAGCAGAAAAAAACAACAACAAAATAAAATAAAAACAGTTTAATTTTTAGGAAGAACAAAAAGATAGTTTTGGGAAGAAATGGGAAAATAAAAAATATTAATGTTTTTTTTTTGAACTAAATGAATAAAACTGTTCTAGATAATCTTCATGACATTTGTCGTATTACAAGAACTGTTCTAGCGAGTGAGAAAAGAACAAACAAACAATCAAAAAATAAAAGTTAAAACGCAAACCACTTTTTTTTTTGGCTAATGACTATAAAGGGTTTTATTATTACAAGTAAAAAAAAAAAGATGTTATTTGCCCCTAGACATACACGTCGTGTTAATCTTGGCATTTAAATTCAATAGTTTTTCTAAGAGTATTTGAATTTAAAAAAAAAGAAAGAAACATAGACAAGAAGACTAATATATAGGGCGGGCTTCTATATTTTTGTTTGATTGAAAAACATCTAGACACGAAGAAGAAACAAAATTTGGCCTACACACATTGGATAATATCATTAATTAATTAATACTAGGAAGAATACGTTTTAATCAAATATAATGATTCTATAATTAATAATATGTCTCACGTTCAACCCATCCTCCAGGATTTCGACGAATTATATATTTTCGAACTTCATCATAAATAAATATAGCTATGGAGAATGGCAATGCTGGAAGCCACCACATAAATCTAAACAAAATTAAGCAAATGAGCTAATGGTTTTTTTTGTTAAGCAAAATACTCAAAAGTTATAGACTCTAAAACCGATTTTGATCATGACTTTTCACGGACACAGAAATACAAAATGGTACCAATGTAAGATCTAGTTATAGTCAAAGCTATGTAATATGAGTACTGACTATTCTCAGACGCTTATCCAACTTTCAATGTTATGGATCATTTTGAAGTATATCATATGCGTTCACTCATCCTTTCTGGAAAATTCACCACAGTATTATGGAACCACTTTAGAGCAAGTGATATCATTCAAAGTATTATGTAATCCTTTCTAATCACATCATATAGCTGAGAAGTAAGAAACTATCGCTATAATACTTAAAAATTGATTTATGTGTACGTAAAGCAATACTAGAGTATTTGCTGATGATGATAAGCATAAGTAAATATTTGTCCACGAATCAATGAACTACTACCATCAGTACAAACGAGGTCATTCTTGTTATTTACGCATTTGGTTTTTATCATATATTTTTTCCATATTTAAGGTCATTGTTCGTTTTTGATTACAGAAACAACGATATGCGTATTTTATCGTTTAGACGAAATTGATCTATTCAAATTTATCAAAAAAAAAACGTTTTTTTTTCAATCTCAATTTGATAATTTTTTTTCTTTTGTGTTCTTCTATGAGTTTCAAAATCGTGCACCATAAAAATTTTATGGTGCAACAGAAAAATATATACATACATTTACTTGATATATCAATGACTTTTTGTTTATAGAAAAAACGCACAAATCTAAGATACTCACTTGAGTGGATACATGTTAAGACCTTTATCAAGGTATGGTGTGTAACATAAGATGGCAGCTAATACAGTTTCAAATACTAAACCAAAGTTCAACATCCAATTACTAAAAAAACAATATAGAACAACAATTGTAAAAGGAAAAAGAGCAATATTAATGTAATAATGGTATCTTTTATTGAAGAATATACTAAGATTTAGTAAAGCATTTTCTCTGTTTGTAATAATTCACTTACGTCATGCCTTGTTGATAAAGAGAATTTCGTCTTGTTTTACATATAATCAAATCAGCCCATTGTACCACAACAATAGAAACAAAAAATGCTGTATGACAAGTATATTCAAGTGTTTTTCGTTGTGGATATGTCTGAAAACATGAATACACAAACATATCTCAAATATCACTTTGTGAGAAAAATTACGCTAATCTTACCCATTCTTGTCCATAAGAATCTTCTAAATCATTGACTGTTTTAGATTCCCATGCTTGACGTAAACCCAATAGACGACTTGGCCAGAAACCATTTTCTGCCATTATAACTAGATAAGTAAAGAATCCAGCGGATGCTTGAATCATACCGATCTGTCCGTAGGCCATTGAAATCAATCTGAACAGAACTATTATTTTGTCAACAAAGAGTGTCTATAATAAAAACTTAAAATTAGTATACCGTTCATTTACAAGACGATCTCGTTGGGGATCACGTGGTCGACGTTTCATAATGTCTGATTCAGCTTTTTCATATGCGAGTGAAATAGCCGGTACCATGTCTGTTCCCAAATCAATACATAATATAGTTATTGTGCCCAATGGTAATGGAATATCTGTTATTAGATACATGAGAAACGGTGTGATTTCTGGTATATTAGATGTAAGTGTGTAGGCAATAGATTTCTTTAAATTATCAAATATTAAACGTCCCTCTTCAACACCCGTTACGATCGAAGCAAAATTATCATCTAACAATATCATATCGGCCGCTTGTTTGCTAACATCGCTTCCAGCTATGCCTAAAAAAGGAAAAGAGAATAAAACTGTGAAATAAACGACATATAAGTCAACTCACCCATGGCAACACCAATATCGGCTTTCTTCAATGCTGGTGAATCGTTGACTCCATCACCCGTTACGGCAACAATAGCACCTTGCCGTTGGCAACCTTCAACAATAATTAATTTTTGTTGTGGACTCGTACGTGCAAATACAATTTCTGGATGGCTTGATAAAAGTCCATCAATTTCACTTGGCGACATGCTCTTTAAATCATTTCCATGAACAACGCAAGCCTTTGCATCACTAGCTTTAACTTGTTCAAGTGGAATACCCAACCGGTGTGAAATATCTTCTACCGTCTCTGTCCCTTCTGATATTATACCAACAGCTTTTGCAATTGCTTTGGCAGTTATAGGATGATCTAAAAAAACCAATGTGAGAATGTTATACACTAAAAAAGACGAAAATAACTAAGTTAATTACCTCCAGTAACCATAATGACTTTAATACCAGCTGAACGACATTTGGCAACACTAAAAATGAAGTAAACATTTTATGAGTTATACTCTATACTTTGCAGCTAACTTACGCTTCGGGTACAGCAGCACGTGGTGGATCAATCATTGACATTAATCCCAAAAATCTTAATTGATCAACTGGAAAATTAATATCATCCGATTCGAATACAAAATTTTTTGGATATTCTTGAGCGGGTAAACGTAAATCACAAAAGCCTAATACTCGTTCACCAAGTCCACCAAGTTCCAAATAAGCACGATTGAACGCTGCTTTCCAATCTGAATAAATAGATATATCATAATTATTCGTATCTGTATATGGGAGTATTTTCTGTTGGTATTGCACCGTTGTACTCCGACACGCCAAATTGCTATAACTAGACTTCTGTGCAATGAAACCTCAAACTTTTCTTTCATTAACTCATAAATATAATCTCCTACTTTAGATAAAAGATTACTGTTTTAGTACCTCGTTTTCTCGACTTATCACGGGCGCAAAGGTAAAAAAGTCGTTTTTTAGTGCTGTTGGTAAAGCTAAATCGGTATTTATTCTACTAATATAGCAAATAAAAAACTTTCTTCATTAAAAAAATTTCTTTCTATTCACATTGTAGTCCGGACTTTGTACCACAAAAGTATAGCAGGAATAATTTTACGTCTTATGATATTTTATTGAAAAAAAATTACGATATTCTCTTTACATACACTTGTGATTTTATGTCCGGTCATATAAGTCGTCAAGGATTGATAAAAGTTTGTATTAAAAACCAGCAATTGCTGATCTATCTGTAGACACATAGTTACAAAAGAGGCTTTTTGTAGTTCATCCAGTGAAATAAAAAAGGTAGATCTTTAGTGAAAAAATAAGGTTTAGCACTAAATGTCCAGATAGATTTTTAAATTTGTTTTTTTTATTTCTCAGTAACCACTGAAAAAACAATCAAGATTTTTTTATGATTTTATTTATCAGTGAAAATTTGTGGTTAAAACTTCAACTGTTACGAGGAAACCTATGGAGGTGATACCCTCCGTATTCCATGATTTATACCTCAATCGAGAGTTTATCGAGCTAGTAAAAATCCTAAAAGGATGCATCTCCATGGTGCTTTGTTCAAAAGTTATAGTATCTTTCCGTTTTTAAGCCCCCTGGGGTTCGAAAACAGTAAAAATTCAATAACTCAGTCAAAACACAATACGAAAGGCTGAATTTTTTTTTCTGTAGTAGTACTAGATGTCTATTTTAATCATAGAAAGTTTCAACTGAGTTATAGAGAGTTCAGCAAAGTTTTGGTTGAGTTATTGACTTTTTACTGTTTTCGAACCGCAGGGGGCTTGAAAATGACAAAGATGCTATAGGTTTTGAAGAAAGCTCCATGGAGATGCATCCTTTTAGGGTTTTTACTAGCTCAATGGAGGTATAAATCATGGAACGCAGAGGATATCACTTCCACAGGTTCCCTCACTAGTAATAATCTCGTCCGCAAAAAAAATTGAGTTTTATTGCAAAAATGTTTGGTCAGATTTTTTTGATTAAAAATAATCCAATCTTGTAAATTTGTACATAAGTCTATGAAAACGACACACAGTCTCAATATATTATACATCATTCGATTCCTTAGAGTTAGGCGCATCTTTTTGAGATGTATTTATGCGAAACCTTTCGCGATATACAACGTGTTACGACAAAGTCCCGACTATATATGTTTTGCCGAGTCGAAAAACTGATGGATGTTAGCACAAATCGCAGGTCTCCTGCTATTATAAGGGTTGAGAAATTTGCATTTTAATTTTACAGAAAAAAAGCGCCAACGTCGAGACTATTACCTTAGCTTATCCTACCTACCTCTCCTCCCAAATGGAAATCAACAAATTTCTTTCGTTTACAAAAGAAACTTGAAATATACTAGCTTTGAGAATAGAAAGTTTTGTTGATGACTAGGCTTTGAAAGAAGGATTTCTAGAGGTTTCCAGATTTCTCAAATATTGTAAAAAAGTCAGATTTAATAAAAATCTTTTAAACAGTTAGAGAAAATAGAGCAACGATTCTCTTCAAAATAAGATGTCCTTGAGATTTATGTGCTTTTTTTTGAGAAGATACGGATTTGCGAATTTGATCAATAAAAATAATTGTTGTTCTCAACGTTATGTTATTGGTTTATCAGCGAAGTTATAAACTTCATATTTTCATAGCGAAAAGTCATAGAGATCTCTTCCATCCAAAAAAGAATTGTTTGATCTATTTTCCTCTAAACTATTAAGAAACTTTTCAGTTGATGTCATTCTTTCAAAGTATTTTCAATATTAAACAAAATAACGACCACCGATTTGTTTTTATGGCTTATGCTTGCATATGTGTGAAAATGTCTCTGGGCATACTCAAAAACTTCGCCTTTTCAAAAATTTCGTTTGATATATGATACGACTAAGTTTAAATTCATTTACTCTTTTTTATTCTGGTATATCTGTAGCAATTAAATTTCTGCAGAAAAAGCTTATTTTTCATTAGACAAAGACAGAGATAGCCGGGAAAATTCTCTTTTTGTAATCGGTGAAGCTAGTAGTAGATAGGATGACACTAGAAAAAAAAGTTTCAAGCAAATTAATTTTTTTTTACTCTTTTCATTCAAACGGTACAATATCAGCGAAAATCACTCACGTCTTGAAGATATACTTACAGTCATTTAATTCAATATCGGAACCATCAATGTAGATCGTTGAACAACGTTCAAGGATTCGTTCTGGGGCACCTTTCATTACAAGTAAAAATCTTTTATCGTCATCAGAGGTGTTATGAATAGACACTTGATATTTATTGGTTGAGTTGAACTAAACAATTATAAATCAATCATTTCTATAAGATCAGTTAACAAAAAAACGTACTGGTATTCCAAAGATTTGAGCGTTGTCGTCACGAAATTTGATAACATTACCAATCTAATTAGAAAAAAAGTTATAACATAATTAACTAGAATTTTTCTTCTAAATGGAAACATTTACTGATAGTTCGACACATTTTAATAATGCGGATTCAGATGCGTCACCATTGCATTCACGTTGTAATACGGGCTTTTTCAAATTCTCTGCATCTTGCTTGAAACAGGCACGGTTACATAACATGGCGCAACGTGAAAGTGCTAACCAGCCTGGTGAACTTTTATCGTAGGTGGCATCTAAATTAAAACGAATCTTATGGAAATTAGAAACTTTTGTCACGGTAAGTGTCTTTTAGCTAGTTGTCCCAAACTACGAAAACTAGATCTCCTTTCAATTCCACATAACACAAAGGTTATCAGTAACAAACTGTAGCCGTTCCTTGCTGAGTACTTCATACCGTTTAAGAGAGTAGAATGATCAAGTAAATTGCTTTCTCACTTTGTTGATTTTCTGTTGTGTCCGCTTCAACAATACGATTATCAAACCACATATGAGCAACCGTCATACGATTTTGCGTTAATGTTCCTGTTTTATCTGAGCAGATTGTTGATGTTGAACCCAATGTTTCCACAGCTTCTAAATTTTTTACTAAACAATTCTTTTTAGCCATACGTTTGGCTGTCAACGTTAAACACACCTGGAGAACGAGAAAACGTCTTATTTATTCTGTAGTTTGTGAAAGAAAGAGTTGTACATACAGTTACAGTTGCCAGTAAACCTTCTGGTACATTTGCAACGATAATTCCAATTAGGAAAATGACAGCTTCTAACCACGGATAACCGAGTGCAAATGCGATAATAAAAAATGACACACCCAAAAATACAGCAACACCCGTCACAATGTGAATAAAATGACCAATTTCACGTGCAATTGGCGTTTCACCCGTTTCAAGACCTATTTAAGAGAGTCAATAATTATAAAATGATCAGAATATCGTAGGTTAAATTTGTCTACCTGATGCAAGATTGGCTATACGACCCATCACTGTTCTATCACCAGTACTCACGACCATACCAAGGCAGGTGCCTTCAACGGCAAATGTACTAAAAAATGCCAAATTTTTTGTTTCTAATGCATTTTCGTTTGTAAATTCCGGTACACGCGATTGTGGTTCACTTTCACCAGTCAACGATGAGTTATCTACTTTAAATCCTTGAGCTTTAATAATTCGTATATCAGCTAAAAATAAAATTCAGTTAATTATTCAAAAAATTATTTTATAAAGAAAAAAAGATAAAATTTTACCAGGTACACCATCACCGCCTTTAACTTCTACTATATCTCCAACAACAAGCTCTCCAGCTTTTAGATCTTTCTTCACACCATTACGTATTACTAATGCTTGCTATATCAAAAAAGGAAGAAAAACTAAATGCATATGGTGTCCAGAGATACGCAAGAGATCAAACATACTTGTGGAACCCTAAAATTGAGAACGAAAGATAAAAATAATATAAAAAATTCATACAATGACACTTACATATTTTTAAACGATTCCATAATCCTCGAACTTTTGGCTTCTTGAAAATATGAAAAACATCCAGTTAGAAACACAACCACAGTTAATGCAATGCCTAGCCACAACTAAAATTAAAACAGACAGCCTTTTTCATATATTTAAACTAGTTCAACTTTTCTCCTATTTACGTTGTCATTTGCAGCTTCTTCGTATGTCATCACACTAATAGCGTGTGCAATAAAACATAAAATAGCACCAAGCCATAACAGCAAGGCAAAACCGCCAAACATTTGTTTACAAAATTTAACCCATGCAGGAGTAGTTTTGGGTGGAGTCAAGGCATTTGGCCCATCACGCGCTAAAACTTCGGCAGCTTTTGCATCTGTTAAGCCCTGAAATATTTCAACAAAAAAACGTATGAATAACTCGCAGTTGATACAAAAGTTTTTCTGCTCACTTTATCGGGATGTGTATCATATCTTCGGTACAAAACATCGACTGGTACCTTGTGATCATCCTGAAAGACAAGCAATATAACATTTGATAAACAAAAAAAATAAAAAATAAGATTTAAAATATTTACTTACAATATCTACTTCACGTTTTAAATTATCTAAGTCACGTTCTTTTTCACCCTTTCCCTTTTTCTTCTTGTCTTTAGACTATAATAGAAGAAAAAGATTATCCTACATAATTGTCTCAATTAGAGCGTAATAGTACACACACCATTTTTCATTAATATAATGTTGTTATAGTTTTTATTGATTGATATTACTCTAGCACCCTTCTTTCTCTCTCTACTTTATCTAAAATACAAGAATATTATATTAATATGGAGAAAAGCTATGATAATTGTGCGGTTTATTAAAACACGTTTTAAACATCTGACATTGTTCACGGGCATTAAAAAATTTCTTACTCTTCTTTTTTTCTGTTTCTTCTCCTATAAGCTTTACACATTAGATATTTTAATGATTGAAACAAGAAAGAATGTAATGCGGCATAACAATAGTTATATAAATCTAAATAGATGCGAAAATAAAGAACCAAATATGTTTTTTTCTCATCATAAAGAGTTAAATATAATTCTTTCTCTTTTTTTCCTTGTTCAAATATCAGGAAAAAGGAAAAATATTACGGCAGAAATAGACACATATCTATACATACATGAAACGAAAACAGACGCGTTTATCATAAACGCTTTTTTTGAAAATAAGAGTGCTGACGTTGAAGTCAACAAGAAGAAGAAAAAAAGAAGGAAAACATTTGTCAAATCAATCTAATTAAACTTGAATTTTTGACAATGATACTGATCAATTACGCTATATTAATCGTTAGACTTTTCGATTATGAAAATAACATCTCATCACTGCGTGACGGCAAATGAATATAAAAACTAGCTCATATTGTTTCTGCTACAAAAAGAAAAACCCGACGGATTTGAAGTCAGTTTCAAACAGTAAAATCGTGAAGAAGTTCGACCAGGAGACTTTAGTTCTAAAAATCAGAGTAAATTCGCTCTATTTTTTCACAGAATTGAAATAAATTTCTTATATTTTTGGCTAAAAAATTGAAGCAAATTTTCATCAAGATTTTCGAAATCAGTGGTTGTACGCTGCTCCGACACACGGTCCTACCGCCACTGATCTCAAATCAATATGAGAAGGGGGGAAAAGGTTTACATATGCGGTCAGGCAACGAAAAGAGAGCGCCAAGATGACGAAGACATCAAAATTTTACATTACGTTCGACTCCACTAGGAGTAAATGTTAGACCTGAATTTACTCCCGTCTTCGCATTTAATTCTGATTGGTATATTTCGTTTGTAATACATCATTTATCGAATAAAAAACTACAGAATGAAAAAAAAAAGGTGACTGACCGGAATTTTGCACTCATGCCCAGTGTAGCTGATCATGTCATTGGTGATCAAGATGCATCAGGTACAAAAGTTAGCAGCGGATCTCACAATTATCGCAACTTTTAGATTAATTATAGCAATTTGCTTTCAGTGTAATCTTCCAGTGTAAAATCTTTCAGATGTGGTTTGTTCTATATGAACTAATCTAAAACTATACACTGTTTTTCGTAGCGATTCCCAAATGATTATATCGTGCTTGAACGTAGGCAAAGTACAGAGCAAATGAATTCTTTCAAGTCTGACAATATATCTTACCCCCACCATTATCCTTCTACAATACAGAAACAAAACGAATAATAAATCTCATCGATGTTTATTTAACTATTTTGTTTTTTATAGATTTTGTTAAGGAGTACATCGGATCGTCCAAATAGGCAACCTTTTTGTAAGGTTCGAAGTGCTCTAGTATTCATTCGTAAAGGGAAAGAAGCAGAACAACAAATGTCAGTCAGAATACGTGTGATAGTCTATTTCATTCAGCCGTTAGATTACCTCGTCTAACTAGATAAGTCAAAAATATAAAAATTGTTTTTCGAAAAAGGAGCAAACATCTTTAGAGTGTTTAACCGTTTTCACTCCCTTTAAACGAGTGACAATTTTTCCAGTATCAGATAAAATTGTCTGAAATATGATAGAAAATAGTATAACATGAGGTTTAGTAATACATACCATGCTTTTAATTTTGCTCGTGATTATTCTAAAAATAAATAGTGTGACTTAAGCTCGTAATATGTTCAAGAGACGAAGTACTCGACCAGTTAGTTTCTAAGTCTTTTTTTTTCTCAATCGATTTTTTTTTAAAATCTTTTTTTATTAGATTCTTTGTTTTTTTTCACTTGATTATATTTTTTTTTCTTCTATATTCTAGAGTTTATTTGCCACAGAAAAGAAGAAGAAGTGTAGAAGAAAAAATCGATTTGAATATATAAAAACTCGAAAGTAGAAGAAGAAAAAGATCTATCCCACCAATAATTACTGATGCATGAATAAAGCACTAAGAAGAAGTGAATTCAAGGATTTTATAGCCCTGGATATAATTTAAAACTTCGAAAAAAACAACATAATTTGTTAATTGAATCATGTGTAGATATGTGCGTATCATACCTCATAATAAAAATAAAAAATAAAAATATTGCTCCATTGGCATATAACACGTTAAATTTCACACATATATTATTTTGAAATTTGAGTTATAAAACTGTCTGTTCATATAGATTAAAAGAAAAAAAAAAAGCTCTGATTTTTCGAATTTTATATTTTATGGTACTCACATAATAAAATAATTCGTTCTGCTTATTTAAGACTGTTATCCGAATAACCTGTAGATATTATAATACATTTGTGAGTGCACAGTCAGAAAAAACAGTTTTTTATTATTATTTTTCTCTTCAAAAAGTCAATAATATATGATAAGCGCTAATTCTGACGAGGTATATTCTTTTACTTTTAACTGCTTTTCGACATTCTAATATTATAAATGAAGAAATAAAACCACATTTTCGCTTCATCTGTTGATTATAACATATGCCGTATACGTGATTGTGTGCTTATATTCAACAAGTGGCGAGAAAAATGTGTTTTTTTTTCCATAGAATAAACTGGGGATGGTAATGGATGCAAATATTTCACTCCAATCTGTCTATAGATGTTCATTGTACTTTTGTAGTCTGTTACTCAAAAAAAAAACAAATTGCACAAATTTCTCTCTGTCTTACGAACATATAATAAGATCATTCTCTAGTAAAAGATCGATTGATGAATAGTTTTACGCATTCTGAATCGAATTTTAGCTCGTCTGCAGCACTTTTTGAAATCTACACATTATTCAAACGATATACTAAGAATATTTTAGAAACTAGTTCAAAATATCATAGTAGCCATCAAACAAAGATTAGATTTTCCATGCTAACTCATGAATTTCAATTGAATTATCTTCTTTTATTAGAGAAAAAAAAAAATATCTGCGCTCATTTTTCTATCTAAAAAAGTTACAAAAATAGATAAACCTCATCTGGTAAAGATCATACGACTGTAAAATTATGTCGGTAATGTTTTTAACTACTAAGAAAAATTAGTGTGTCTCTTGTTTATGCATCAATACGCGAAAAAAACACTCGCATACACGGACTGGTGTTGCAAACATTTAACATGTTCTTTTCTCGATTGACATTTTCATGAACTTCTCTTTTTTCATATCTGCATGTGACGTGAGAAGAAAAAAAGTTTATTTTCCGGACAACTAAGACGAATGTGCCATCATTTACTCGTGGATAATTTTGTTTTCCGTAAGTAAAGAAAATCAGAAACGAAAGAAATAAAAAAAAAAACTAAAATATTCTATACATACTATACCATATAACACGCACAAGTCCAACGGTACTTTGAAGAAGAAGTGAGTTAATAGAAAAGTTAAAAAAAGAGAAGTAGATAGTGTGTACTAAGCAAGATGCTGATTATTGAATGATAACCGATTGTTGTTTTTTTCTCTCGTTTTTTTTCTTTTTTTTTGTTACTAAATGCTTTTTTCTGCTCTTCTTCTTTCGTTCTTTTTACGAACGATGTAATCACGTTGGTTAGAGTTATATAGCTATATTATACCAAACCGCCGAATCTTTTTTTTCTGTTATAAAACAATGATCATAGAAACATAACATTAAAAAAAAAAAGAAGAGAAAAAAGCAGAAAAAGAAAAAGATATTCCACCACTATCTTTTATGCAGTCAGTCAATATATATGTTTGATAACGTTGATTAAAACTGAAGAAAAAAATGTGCTGAAAGCTAAGGCTTTTGTAATGTTCTCGATAATAGTAATAAAGCAAAAATTCTGGTATACAATATAGTAAGAGAAGAAAAAAAAAAGATAGAGAAAGAAGAAACCATTGTAAAATGTGAATAGAAGAAAATATATATAATAGAATCATTCTTTTTTTTTATTTTTTATTTTTCTTCTTTTTAAAAAGGACAGATAAAAATCGCTACAATATATAAAATATGATGGCATTAAATAGAAAAAAACCCGAGTGGTTTTAAGAATGATAAAAGCCAAACGGGGGGGGGGGGGGGGGGGGGGGGGGGAAACTGTAAAGGTAAAAAAAAAAAATTTCACGTGCAAATTTTTTTACGGGTTATAATTGCCAAGCGGTTCCAACAAAAAAAAAGTTTTTAGT